CTCCCTTTAGATCCGCAAGAGCCAACCCCACAAGTGGCAAAGCCTCCCAGAGTTTCACCTTGAAATGGCTCCTCGTATCTCTCCTGTTCCTTTTTTTTCCCTCACCATTCTCCTTTAGCGTTTTGCTTTTCTGCAGCGCTGCCCACGGCTGCAGCAGCACATTCCCGAGACACCGCTGGGTTCCCCCCGTCGCCCCCTCTGCCCCCTTTCCCCATTTGCTTCTGCAGAGGGCATCCTGCCTTTTTTGTGTGTTTGTCTGGTGTCTGTCCCAGCAGGGACGTGATCTCAGCTGGGCAGTACGGGATGTAATTCACCGTGAAATTGCTTGGAGACGTTCTCCTACCCCCTCTCCCCCAGCCCCAACCTTACAAAACCCGTCCCTGCTGCAGGGAGGCAGGTCGGGTGCTGCGGGAAGGGAAGGTCATGGGGATGGCTGCCAGTGTTGGAGGATTTCCTCCACCGCCAAATAGATATTTGCCCACTTGTTTGCTGTTTTATTTTGTTTTATTGTGTTTTATTGTGCTGCTGCTACACTCAGATCTGTTTTGTAGCTTTGCGAAGCCAGCAGATAATGTATTTTCACTACGAGGACTTACCATATCGGAGCAAAAAATAAATCCAATTCTCTTGATCAATGTTTAGAGGTGAGATGAGGCATCTCAAATTGAATCTAAAACCATCACAGTATATGGGAGGGAAAAAAAAAGTTCTCCCTGCTTCAAATCACTGAAATGCAAGAAGATGTTACAAATCTGTGAGGTCCTGATTTCAGGGGCAGTTTGGATCATTTTGGAAAATTCCATGCCTACAGACAAGCCATCTAACCTCTCTGTTTCTTATTTCCCCATTATAAAATAGTGTGGATAATGTGTTCTCATATAGTTGGGTTTTTTTACACTCAGACAAAACAGACTCAGTAAGAAGACTCCGCTACTATCTTCTGTAGAAAGAGCTAGCTTCCTTGTTTGACAAGACAGGAGTAAATACACTAGAAATCACCACAACAGAAGCACACGGACAAACGACGCTTTCACAATCTCTGGTTTGAAGAGAGAGCTGTGATCTCGTAGGCTAAAGATCCCGTAGCAGCGAAACACGCTCACGAGGCTCTGTGATGTGCAGAGCCACACGTTTTGGGGATGTGCTTTGCATGAGAGGTCAGCTCAGGGGCTTGTACAAGCCTGGCGTTAAATCGCACGCGTTCTGGGCGTCTCTTGAGAGGCCGGTGATCCCCAAGAGCCCAGCCCTGCCTGCGGGGCCGCTGGACACCCCGGAGGTGGGATGGTCCCAGTGGACCGGACGGACAGACGGTGGGCTGTCGGGCAGGGATTCTTGCAGCTTCTCCTGCGACACTTTACAGACCCCCTTGCTTTGCTGTGCCGATGCTTCCTCGCTCTGGAACCGCCACCGACGCAAATGCTGTTCCCCTTTACTTTAGACAGACGCTGCCCTGTTATACGACGCCGTGCACGTGGTCTCCGTCTGCTACCAGCGCGCCCCGCAGATGACCGTGAACTCCCTGCAGTGCCATCGGCACAAAGCCTGGAGGTTCGGTGGCCGCTTCATGAATTTTATAAAAGAGGTAAAAGCG